CAAAAGAAGAAAGAAACTCATACAGGTTTGGAACAACTTGAGGGTGAGTAAATGATTACAGAATTTCTCTTTAAAGAAATTTTCATTGAAAAAAACTAAGATATTTTTTATTCTACAAGATAAAAGTGTTATTTGAATGCTGTAGTTTCACAGAAAATGAACTGAGATGTAGTTAATGGCTATAGCTCAGAGGTGTTTGTTCCTCTTCATGAAGAGTTTAGCTCCAGCACCTGAAGTGTTCATTGATCTGATGACCTTGATTAACTGCCTCAGGTGTGTTTAATTAGGGCTGGAGATAAAATCCGACACCCCTGCTAGTGTTTTCTTTTGATATTAAAGCATAGAAATAAATAAACAGAATTTTATGATACTATAATCTTAGTTAGAATATTTTGTTTTCAGTGACTTTAAAAAAAAAAAGTGAATCATATTGTGTTTAGTATATTAACATTATTGAATGTGACTATGTATTGCAACTGAATTGATTCGTTCTTGAGTAACATCATGCTTTCTTTTTCAGATTTCAGAGAACCCAAAGGAAAAGAGGCAGAATCTGATGATGCAAGACAGATTTTTAAAAACCTGAACCGCTGGACCTGTAGTTATGATGACATCAGACTTCTGAAGCCAATTTTATTTTTAAAGGTTGAAATACTTTTGTCCTATTTCTCCCCCTTTCTTTTAAAAAAAAAGTGATATTTTAATATATTTGTTGTCATTGATTGATTGAATAAAATAAATTGACTCAACTGCTGGAAAGGTGTCATTTATATTTTAAAAGGTTTTCGACAAATTTTGAAATGGTCAGGAATTTGTTGACGCACCATTGAAGTGTGATTGAAATATTAATGTTGTTTCAACATTAATTGGTACATCAGATGGCAACATTGTTTGACATTCCTTTTCAGTCTTTCAACAAAATGTATTTGGAATCAACATCACATTGTAACATTGATCAAACCATATTACCAAAGATTATTTTTTGTTAATTTCAGTGTTAATTCAACAGCAGTGATTTAGATTCAACATCATAGTAACGTTGATTCAACAATATTACCATTGATTAGTTTTGTTAATTTCAATATTGATTCAGCATCAGTGATATAGAATCAATCATAGTGTAACGTTGATTCAACAATATTACCATTGGTTATTTTTGTTAATTTCAATATTGATTCAGCATCAGTGATATAGAATCAATCATAGTGCAACGTTGATTCAGCAATATTACCATTGGTTATTTTTGTTAATTTCAGAGCTGATTCAACAGCAGTGATGTAGATTCAACATCATAGTGTAACGTTGATTCAACAATATTACCATTGAGTATTTTTGTTAATTTCAATATTGATTCAACAGCAGTGATGTATAATCAATCATAGTGTAACGTTGATTCAATAGCATTACCATTGATTTTTTGTTCAACATAGTTTCAACATTAACTGAGGGTGCAAAAGTGATGTTGATAAAATATCACTTTGTAATGTTGAATCAATACTATTACCATTGATTTTTGGTTGAATTCCCAACATTATTTCAACATTAACTGAGGGTGCAAGAGTGATGTTGATAAAATATCACTTTGTAATGTTGAATCCATACTATTACCATTGATTTTTGGTTGAATTCCCAACATTATTTCAACATTAACTGAGGGTGCAAGAGTGATATTAAAGCAACATTACTTTGTAACGTTAATTCAATGCAATTAGCGTTGACGCATCAACACTGAGTCAACATTGTTTCAATGATTACATGCTATCTGGGCAGGGATATTAAGGTCTAACTAAACCAACTCAGTTCAACTGCTGATAATTGGCAGGTAATCAAATTAGCGTAAATGCGAGCTATTTTTCAGTGCACAAATTTAATGAACCTTTAATGTGTGTAAGGAGCCTGCCAGAATAAAACTGATAAATTATGAGACTTAGTCAGTAATTACGTGAGCTCCTGTTGATTCAGGGTTATGAATTCACGATGGATTGAGCTGTACTTAGTACATCATCACGTTCCAGACTTCATTTTTTTCTGCCCTTGAACGAATGCAAATAGCGATGAGAGTAAGCAATTAAGAAATGCATAAATTACAGTTTCATGGTTCAAGAACAAATTTTGTCCAACGCACATTGCTTGCAATGTTCTGCTAGTGTTTGAGCATGGAGAATGTTTTTACCCTGGCACATGAGAAGCTGATTTACTGTATTCATTCACTCCAAAAGTCTTATTTATCTCTCCTTCTTTGAGTCATCAGGCACCTTCAGGAAATCCTCCATATGTTGGCTCTTTCACTACAATCTTCAGACACACCAGAACACGTCAAACTGGTTAGAAAATTTTATGGAAAATCTCTGTAAAACTTAAATTATTTTTTTTACATGATAATCAAATGTGATTAGGTGAATTAGTGCTTTAGAAAAGACATCTATAAGTGTTGCCTCTTCAGAACGGTCCGTTCCACTGGGTTTTGTGAACCTACAGGATGAAGCAGCAATACCACTCATGCAAACCCAAGAAAATTTGTACCTCTTTCTTCTGCAAATGACATTTACTATGTCAGAGATTGCAGAATCTTAAAAATCAAGTCTTCAATGCCTTTCTATTTTACAGTTCAGTAAAGAGCTCTGCATAGGGTTCTTTCAGGCCATATGGTTCATTGGAGATCTAAAATAGTTCTTAATCTTCCATTGTAGGCTGTTGATGTCTAAATAGCTGGTTTTCTAAAGAACTAAAGAATAAAAAAGAATTGTGGAATTTTTGATGGCTTCTTTGTGAGGTACAAAGTCCTTTCCAGAACCTTTACCCTCTCTGTCCTTCAGTGGTGGAACAAGATATCAACCTTCATCTGATCTCTTGAGACCATCAGAACTTTAAATAAACAGCTGAAGACTTACCTAATCCACAACCATGAACAAAGGCAATTCCTAAAATAAACAACCTTTCTACTACTTTAAAATTGGCATTGTGTAGGCTACTGCAAGTATTGTTGACTCTTATGAGAAATTGCTTGAGATGTGTTTAAATCCAAGTCGCTTTTGATGAAAGCATCTGCCAAATGACTAAATGTGTTTCTAAATCGTTTGACCAGACTAGTGCAAACACTCAGTTTCACACATGAGGTCTGTCCTGACCACTAAAGAGGATCTTCCTCGTCCTCTGGGAGAAAGATTCTGAGGGAGAGAGATGAGAGAAGTGTTTCGCAAGCTACATGGTTTATGCATTGGTCTAGTGTCTCTCTGTCTATTTAAAATTTCCCTTGTAGATTCAAACATGGAATCCTCCAGTGACAGCAGTGACAGACAGAATGCTGATGTTACCTCGGGCTGCTCCAACCAAACAGGGTTTGAATAGGCTGCGTTTACACTTGGCATTAACATGCGATCACCCTGATCCGGATCATAAGCCAATATAGGACACGGTGCGTTTACACCTGTCCAGTGTCCACATCAAGTGTCTTAATTCTGTATCTGGACAGATCGGATCTCGCAATCCCGCGAAAAAAAAAAAAGGTTGGGTGCAAGAAAGTCGACCTGAAGTGGTGGGTTTTCTTTTTTAAAAACAGTTTTCAGGATGACATTTTACAAATCTCGCAAAATGAGGAGGATGAAAAGGCTGCAAATAGGCTACTAATAATGTGGATGGATCCCGTAGGCTAATGGAAACGGTACAGGGAAACGTATGGGTCCGAGAAGGTTGCCAGCTGTGGTGGGACAAATGCGCGTTCTTTACTGAAAATGGTTCTGCAATTTTCGGGTGCGAACTGCGAAGGCAAACATTTCAGTATATTTGCGATGTAGCTGCTATCTCTCAACGGTTTTAAGGATGTCAAGCAATAATAATGATATTTAACTCGATCTTTTTTCTTGACAAACTGCTGCGTAGTAAATGATTACATCCTAATCTGGATTACGTAATCATATTCCAAAAATTAAGTTGGCTAGGCTACTTTCCATTACATTTTAAAATACTCATAATCAGACTAGATACCTTTTATCGATTACATCTTACTCTCACAATGGCAGCAATTAATTATAATTTATTGATTCTCCTTTACTTTTCAAAAAAAAAAAAAAAGTAAGTCTACTTCTTAGCCTACGTTCAAAAGGTCTTCCAGTTTTGTGGTTTTGCACCGACCCACCACAGCACTTACAGAAATTACTTAACTTTTAAGATGTTTCCTTTCTCAACATTGCATATATCTGCTCACCTCCACATTAATTATTTGAATTATCACTCAGTGAGTGAGTAATTAAGTATTGTTCTTTGGAAATGTACAAATTCACATAATTTCATATTTAGGCAATATTATACAGGCATTCCCCCCCCCCCCCCCCCCCCCCGCCCCCCCAAAATGTTCAGCTTAACCCTTTGCAGCTCCACCACGAACCCGTTTGGGAAAGTGTATTTAATATACTTCATGTTGTTGATAACAATGGAATATATTTTCTTTCTCTTTGTTTTTTTACATGTAGGCTACAAGATGATCCTATTCAATGTGATAAAGGAGTTAAGTCAAAAGTAATCTGATTACATTACCTTAAAAATGTAATATAATGGATTATGTTACGATCCACAATTTGTGCCATTTAATTTGGATTCAGTAGACTCAAATTTCTAAGTAATCTACCCAGCACTGTGAATAACCCCAGTGATCACAGATATCACCCGACTGTGTACTACCATCTGTCGTCTGGTTCAGGTTACTGCACGAACAGGTCAGCAACATTTCAGAATAGCCACATTAAACATCCTTCTAAAACCGCAACAAATGATTTTTATTTCAAAAAAGGAGTGAAATAAAAACACTCTCAGACAAAAGAACCTTTTCAAACACACTTCTGTTTCATTACTGCACACTGACACGATCCAGTAAACAAGCAACAAATCAGATTCCCTAAGAGGAACACAAAGGATAAAAAAGGAACTTGTTCAAAACAATGAGTTGGTTTTTTTTGGATCCCCTCTCTTTTTAAACTAAGATATTTGCAGAGATAACAAATAAAACACGAAACAAACAGTGCTCTCTCTCTCTCTAGTATTCACACAAGCTTTCATCCAAATGTGAGGAAGATCCTAAAAGCACTCCAGATCGGCTCGGAGATTAGCTCACAGGCGTCTTGTCGCCATTTTCGACTACTTTTCTCTCCTCCTTCACTTTGAAAACATTCGCTCTGTAAAACTTCAGTTCTTTTATGCTCTCCCGGATGTCTTCCAGCGCTCTGAAAATTCAAACAGACACACCATTATTCTGAGATCAGACAAAACAGCTCTCCTATAGGTTTAAATATTTATGAAGTACATCGAAGCCTCTCCTGCGACGCTAAATGTGGCATTCAATAATACAGCGGTGAAAACCCTGAGCTCACAGACCTGTGCGATGCTTTTTTCTGTGGTGCGAGACCGTACTCCTCTGGATACCATCGTCTGGGAAACAGAATGGGAAAAAAGAAAGTATTTTGACATCATCAACTTCTTCCTGTACTTGCTGAAGCACGTCTGAATGCAGTAATGTCCGGAATGGGGAACAAACCTGGACAGCTCTTTAATGGTGCTCACGTCTATAATGCGATAGTGAAGATGTCGCATGAACTGCGGCATGAACTTATCCAGAAACTTCTTATCGGCGTGAACGGAGTTCCCTGTGGATGAAGAGGCACAGCTTGACACCTGTAACATGCAAGAGAAACACAGCAGCTGGTGTCGTGCGTTACCTGCGAGAGGACACTGTCCGGGTGGCGTGTGCTGTCGGACGAAAGACAGGAATTCGTACTCTGCCTGCTGGAGAGTGATGTGACTGTCCCGGACAGCCTGCGTCAAGCCTGACTGGCAACACAAATCACAACACACACATCAAGCTCATTCAGCCGAAAGAGGAAACACTCAGAATGTGCGTCAATCTGTACTCACCTTCCCATGATGCTCTTTGCACCAGTCTGACATGCCGTCAAGGAGATCATCTGGTTGGTTGATGATCAGATTTGGCCCCTAACAACAACAAAAAAGAAGGTTATAGCTTTAAAGAGCCAGTGTGGACATTTTTTTTTTTTTTTTTGTGGTGAGGAGTGAGACATATATGAGACATTAGAGGCAGGTGGAATTTTGGGGAGGGATATTCCCGTTCTAGACCGTATTTGATAGAACACATTTGTAGTGCAGGATGAGTCATCAATATTTGAATTCATTTTATTTTTTCTAAAATTTAAATCTAGGTTGAAGACATTTTTTCTCTATTGATGTTGCCCGAGATGTATTCATTAGACTTATGCTCAACTCTTTTTTTTATGTTTGTACATTATTATTCATTCTATTGGTCATTGGAAGGACATTTTCCTTTGATATTGATAGTAGTAATAACAAACATTCACATATTGCACAATATACACAAAAGCAGATATGCTAAAAATTAAGCTAACAGCATCATTCTAAAACTAGATAACGCAGTCAAACAGCACAACTTAAATGCAGGGGCCCTACTACCTAGTAAAATAACACCCAAAATAACAACTATAAATGTATATATTTTTTTAAATGTAAAAGTATTTATTTACAAAGTTTAACCCTCTGGGCCTCTTTGGTTAGAACTGACTGACTAAGTTTAACGTTTTGAATTTGTACTTTTTGTTTTTTGCTTCATTGGAATGGGATGACAGTTGGTGACGACTTGTCACATTAGCTATGTGAACACAAAACAAATCATTGATATAATTCGGTTGATACAGCATTTGGTGTTTTTAAAATGTAGTTTACCTAAACTTGAACTTAAAAGGTGTAAAACACCTTTAAACTTAAGTGTGCACAAGTATATAGATGACCTCAAATCCAACAAAAATGAATCTGGATATGCAAAACATCAGATTTTTGCTGGAGACTGAACATGGCCCAGGTCTCACTGCATGGGACTTATATTACATGCAAAAAAGAATCACCAACCTCTGCAATGATGTTCAGGTCAGAGTCCGTAACTATGCAGGCCATCTCAATAATCTTGTCCTTCTCGATATCCAGCCCTGTCATCTGAAACAGAAGGCACATGTGCAACCCTGAAAACCAGTCATTCAACCTAAGACTGCACAATCACTCGTCACTCCAAATATATTTGTAAAGAGTTCCTGGATCAAAACTGCGTAGGGTGAACCCAAAACCAGAGAGTGTGTGCAACAACATGTGAACAAGCAGATCAGCTGCAGAGACTAGTCCAAATCTAATCCAAAGAAGTGAACAGACTGTACTGGACTTGATATAAGCACAAGCAGATGGCATGTTTGAAAATGGATGCAATCATTTTACATACGAAATACTTTAAAACTATGCATCATTCAGCATCGATATGCTGTCAAATACTGCGGTCATACATCGTTTCTGTTAAAACATCTTGATTTTGACTTAAAATGTGAATCAGTTAAATCATGTCAAAAAGACTATTGTTTACCTCCAGATCCACCCAGACCATCCGCTGCGCCACGGACTGTGACATCTTCCTGCTGTGAGGTGGTCTTGACATCAAACCCTTGGCGAGCACAGAGGTACATCGACTGAAGAGAGAGAGGCTGTGGGCTGTAAACACTGGTGGGAATGCTTTAACCCGCTGTGATGACACGCAGACTCGAGTCAGGACTCTGAATGCTGAAACACGCGCTGCACTCCACATGTGTGCCCACATACTGACGTCTTCCGAACGCAAGTGTCGTAAATACCAGCGCGGCGCAACAGTGCAGGCAGGTCAGCAGCAGTTCTTCGTACGTTGCTTAAAACATCCGAGATCAAACGAGACATCCAAGATAATATCATCGTGCTCATCATGATCCGGCTAATTAGGTTCTTCGAACACAACTGCCGGTTATGATTAGTATAGCTGGATTGAGTTATTTGAGATAATTGCGCGTTCATGCGCTGGTTTAAAAGGGGATATGTATCGATAGTAGAAACATTGATCAGCAACGCTGCTATTGGCTGCTCACCGTGGCCAAAGAGCGCGCTCAGTTTTTAAAGCCAGGAGAGAGAGCTGGCAAAAAGTATCAGCCAAATTAAGTTTGTAGTGATGTTAGATGTTTTTATCACTTATTACAGTAGCCTATATTTTTATAATTTCTAAATAATTAATAACTTTGTTCATTGTAATGTCAGAGTCACCACCCACTACTATGGGAACAAGTTAAAGTGAAGTACTAGAATATTCTACATAATGGTAATTTGTATATAAATGTTTGCCTGTTTATAAAAGCAACCAAGAAAAAGGCTGAGAAAAAAAAAAGAAAAGAAAAGCAAACAGGTGGTGGTCCTGCACCCCCACATTATACCCAGGCAGAAGAGCTGGCCCTTGGGTTGAATGTGAACCGACCCATTGTGGAGGGCATCTCTGGGTTCAGCTCTTCCTCAGACCCACAGCCAGAGGCCAGGAGCAGAACTGCTGGTAAATTAACTTTTACTGATCCTAGTACACTGTAAAATAATTTGTTGCTGCATTAAATTAAGTAGGCCTATAATCCAAATGCTGTCCAGTCATATCAACTGTTAAACCTTGAGTAGTAATGAATTGCTTTGACTTGTGAAAGTCTACATGTGTGACTGTGAAACTACATGTAAAAAAAAATTTTTTTGCCTTGAGTTATTGATCACATTTCCCCCCAGTGTACTTCATTGTATAATGAAATTGTGTTTTCCTCTTTTGTGCAGTTTTAAACAATACACCAACACTTTTACCTGTTCCCAAGCAAGTGGCTGAAGCATGTGCAGTAAGTGGACTTTTTCTAACGTTACATCAAAAGGGAAGGAAGTACAACACTTTGTAATGGCCATTTCCCCCCAATGCACAGGACAGTGAATAAACCCTCTCAGGTATCTTTAAGTGCATAAATAACTTTACTTAATTTACACTTGAGTAGGCCTACCTATTATTTCTGAATGCAATATGAGTTGCAGGAGTCCACATCTACAGAAGAGCAGTGATGCAGAGGTGGGCAGTGTTGTACTTTTCCTTTTAATTTTTAATGCATAAGCCATGTGTTGACAGGTTTACCCCTACCCCTAGAAGATAGAGTATTTTGAAAATACTTGACAACTTAAAGGAGAAAAAAACTGGCACTAGAGATAGAGTTGCTTCATAGGTACTTCAAAGTGCTAATATATTATTTCACACAGAGTACTATTGCTGACTTTGCATAATATCTCTTATTGCAGGCAAAAGATGACTATCACTGGCTTTTCTTTACAAAGAACAATTAAAAACTCAAAGAACTAAGCATATTTGTCTTGTCTTTTTTATTAAACATTAATGAAATGTTTTATATTTTTTCTGATGGTGCAATGTTGTGTAATATGGCCCATGCAAGGTCACAGGCCCTGTCAGGTGCAACCCTCAGACTTTTCAGACACTTTAGTTGGCTAAAGTTCACTTCATTGTGTGCCCTTGTCCTGGCTAGAGCTGCATTGTAACTGTTCTGGGGTTTGGGTCAGGGAATGGGGTCATGAAACACCTGTCTCCAAGCAGGATCCTGTTGTAATCACCTGTATAATGGAAACATTCAGTTCTGTTAGGATAAGCAAGTGTATGTAATACAGTGAGCTTGATATTTATATGTTTCCTTACCACGTTCAAATAATGTGCATAAATCTCAGCAAATTCTTGAGTCATGCACAGATCCTGGCCATATTTGTGATATGGAACATAGTCACACACCATCTAAGAGATTTTAGTCTGTCAACTGCCTTTTTAAAATTTGATATAATCATCTGGATAAGAATCGCAATAGTAGCTAACTTGCCTGCACTGTTATTAAAGCCCGACTCCGACGAGCCGAACATGTGTTTCCAACAAATTAATGATGTAAACGACATCCTCACGAGTCATGAGAAAAATTATAGGCCTATCAAAAAGTACACTATCGCGCTGCGCTAAAAGACTTCCCATATCACCTCCGCTTATAAAGGCGCGATCTAATCCTGACATGAAATAAACTTGCTCGCGAGCAGGTTTAAGCTTGCGCACCTGTTGCTATGACAGCAAGTCTCGAAGAACCAAACAATCCAAGATCATGCCAAATCGCCAACAATCAAATCCAGCTAAGTGAGTTAGCGACGTACGAAGAACGGGCCCCAGATAGCCTATAAGTAAACTCCATGGAAACAGAATACGCGCTTTAAAGTTTACTAGTTCGTTGTGGCCAGCAATGTTCATTTAAATGTTTTTATATAGTTTTGCACTTGATGTAGGCTAATTGATGGTAAATATTATTATTATTATTACAACGTGTGCGTGTGTATGTGTTATTTTCATTTATAATATATTTAATAGTAAAATAGTAGGCTACATAGCCTAATACATTTAAATTATAACTGTATTAACACATACATTGTTATTTTTTTATTTGTTTAGGTCTCTAAATAGAATTATAACATGCATTTTATATATTTATTTAAAGGCTTAAACTGTAACATATAAACATTACAACGTTTTGTAATCTATAGGCTACCTTAGGCCTACATAATCATGCAAATAAAGCACTTTGGTTTATTGTTGTAAATCGTTTTGTGAATCTGACAGATGCAGTAACGCACTTTGTCCGTAAGATCGCGCAAACGGACCATCACTGGGCCTGAATACATTATCCCATAACACTAGTTTATCACTCGATATCTGGAAATCCCAAAGTTAAGGTTGGTATATTTTAGTATTTAACGAGCTTATATCTTTGACAACATGTTGCCAGCTAGGCCAGGGTGATATATGCCGCTTTATATTTGTGCACACAGTCACATGGTCCCTAATAATTACAATGTTCGTCTTAATGCTTGGCGTATAATTTGTGGTGTAATACAGTTTTCACGTTCAAATCAAGCATGGTCACCTAATCAATTAGCGCCCCTGTCGTGGATTTCAGATCTCAGTTCTAACACTAATAGCCAGACAGGACCGTAAACATCATATTTCACCACTGACACAGATACGAATTTAATGGCTTGGAGTCACCCTGTGAAGTAATCTGTGTGATAAAAGCAACGACCTCCTTCAGACCAGTCTGACGGGAAATAGATAGAGAGAGGGAGAGAGAGAATTAGGCTGGAGATGATGATGATGTTTTTCCCCTTCTCTCTCTCTGATGGTTGTAGTCTAATAAAAAGGCGGGAGAATAATTATAGAGTCGTCGAGATGCAGCGCTGCTGATGGCGGAGCTCGCCGTCTGATGGCACTAGAGTAATTCGGCATGGGAAAGGCCTCATGATGGGAAGACAGGCTTCATTATTCCTCTCCCTCAGTTTCTGTCTCGCGCAAACGCACACTCGCTCACACAAATTCAAACAAGCGAACTGAAGAAAAAAAATGATGAAACAGAAGGTAACCTGAGTTCAAGGCAAGATAGCCCCACCACCCCCTTATATTGACGTCTTCTTCTTTTATTCAATTGAAGAGCATTATTGTCCTGGAAGTATCGCATTTCAACGTGCAAACACCTCTTTGAATATCTGTAGCCTAGAGTCTATATCAAGTCTTAGCCTAAGTGGAGGAATGTAACGGAGACAAGCTAAGAACTGTGTGTGTAAACCTCACTCCCCTGGCCTCAAGAGGCACATAAGAGACTGCAGTCTTGAGCTTTCTTGTTAGTGCGCAGATACACCGGTTCAAATCCCTCTCGGAGCGGATCGAGTAGGACCGGTTACATACGCTTGATGAAAAATGCAAATGTTAGCAGCGTTGGTGTTTTAAAAAAGGGCCACGAGGGTCGTGTTAAAAAATGACCCTTCGTGTCCGACATCCTGGAAGACGTTTGGGGTTGAGCCATGTCATTACACAGGGGCTCAAAGTGATAATCCAGCAAATGGATTTAAGCTCTTGAAAGCTACTAGTGCATGTCCTAATGCATCCGTCACTTCTGAACTCTCGCCAGATAAGAGGACGGAGAGCGCTCGCTGCAGCCATAAAGTGGACAGACTAATGCAGGCCGGGCGTCTGATATCATCCACAGCACAGATCAGCTCACCCACAAACTGCCACTGTCACCAACCGCCACTGCATATATCAAAACCATGGAGACATTTATTTTAAAAGCACATCTTTCCTTCTGGATAAATGCCTGAAGTTCCCGATTCTGAACTTTTTGGCTGGATCTCTGTTGACCCGGATGATTTGGCCACAACTTATTTCTAAAATCGGAAAATCGACAGGCTGAAGTCTGAAGTGCTTTCTGCTCCAAAGAATCCAAGGCGCAAGGTCACAGGAACCCATTAAAACTGTAAAAAACAATCCCAAATGATTGATTTTCAGAGCGTCGGCTGTGTGCACCTTACTGTAAGGTGTAATTGCGGTGCGTTCACGTTCAGAGTCGAGTGCTACATGGAGGGCTGATGTGTCATGGAATGTTTTTAAGGTGATTTGTTGATCTTTTATCTTTAAAGGGTTTTCGCAGGAAGGCGGTTTATGGTGCTGGAAATGCTAGTTCAGCTCTTCACTGACACTTAAAGGGATAGTTAAAAAAAAAAAAAACTCATTCATTTACTCACCCTCACGTTGTTTCAAAACTATATGTCTTGGCAGAATGTGACTGGTGCACTGCTCTTCAAGTCATACAACATCTCTTTGTAAGGAAAGTGACCACATCTGCTTTTGTGTTGTAAAGTCATGTAGGTTTGGAATGATATTAGTAAACGAAGACAGAATTTGTCCCTTTAAGTATCCCTTTAAT